ATTCTGGTCTCGGGGGTTATCCGACGCGCTGATCACGAATCCGATGCCCATTTTTCGCCATTCGCCCACATAAGGGGGTTACGGTAGGGATACGGTAGTTGGGCGAAAGTCACGAAATTGGCTGAAACTTGGTACAGTGGAGTTTTCTGGCACGCTGAACACGAATCCCATGCCCATTTTCGCCATTCGCCCACATAAGGAGATTACGGTAGGGATACGGTAGTTGGGCGAAAGTCACGAAATTGGCTGAAACTTGGTACAGTGGGGTTTTCTGGCACGCTGATCACGAATCTCATGCCCATTTTCGCCATTCGCCCACATAAGGGGGTTACGGTAGGTATACGGTAGTTAGACGAAAGCCACAAAATTGCCTGAAACTTGGTACAGTGGGGTTTTTTGGCACGCTGATCACGAATCCGATGCTCATTCTTCGTTACGATAGGGATGCGGTAGTTAAGCGAAAATCACGAAAGTGGCTGAAACTTGGTACAGTGGGGTTATTTAGCACGCTGATAACGACTATGATAGTCATTTTTCGCCATTCGCCCACATAGCGAGGTTACGGTAGGAATACGGTAGTTGGGCGAGATTCAAGAAGTTGACTGAAACTTGGTCTGGCGGGGTTATTCGCTGTGCTAATTCGGATGTGGTAATCATTTTTCACTGCGGAGAGATAGAGCAGGGTTACTGTAGGAATATGGTGAAAGCCAAAGTCCCATAACAGATTCAAAATTGGTTGGCTCAGTAGCGTTACGCGGTGTGTTGACTACGATCACATTGCGCGTTTTTCACTACAGCGGTTCAAAGCGGAGAAGAGATACGGTAGACTACTACCCAAAACCACAGGACTTCATGAAAGTTGGCTTCGTTAATTCCGCACGCTAATCAGGAATATCATAGTCGCTTGAAAATACCTTACAAAAAGGGGTTTCGATGGATTTAGGTAGATGGATAAAAAATCTCACTTGGAACTTTTTTCAGGGAAGGTTTAGCTAAATACTTAGTTACCAGTGACGGTCGCAGGATTTCCGTCCGGGAGGAGGGGGCAAGGAGGACAAAAAATTTTTCCAAGGAGGACAAAAAATTTTTTAAGTGAAGGTGCATGGCGACAATTTTTCGGGGTGCTTCTTGACATTTTTTGCTGGCCCATACCCCTAAATTATAGGCTTGTCAGCAGCTACGCCCCCAAAAATTTTTTTTGAATCCTAAGAAATTTTAAAAGATAATTTTATTATTTACAAGAACGAACAAGTCATTTGCACATTTTTATAACACAGTAAGTAGCTTTCAAAAATTTCGCGACCCATCCCGGGGGGAGGGTGAGCCTCCCCTTCGGTCCGCCACTGTTAGATACTTACTATTTCTTCTTACTGCAAGACTATGCATGGGGCTGCAGGAGACGTGGTGGAATAAACTTACTGAACTGCTTAAAAATTCGCCACTGAGTTCATTTGGCAGTGCAATTATGATCATGCTGTCCGTTTTCAATGAGGATTATTACGGTGGGCATATACGGAAGAGCGGCAAAAATCATAGGGAGTTGAACTTTCTTAGCAAAAAATTAATGGTACCAGGGAGTGTTTTTAAATTATTTGTTTTTTATTGTGTCAATAGAAACCTCGAGAAAAATTTTTCGGAATTTGCTACATTATTCAGAGGTCTTTTGTCTAACAGTCGATTTACGAATGACCTGTAGACTTTGTCTACTACTTGAAGTCTATTTTCTTAAAATAATGGTCTATTTCAAGATTACAAATTATAGATCTAGGTCATTCGAAAAATTGGAAACTAACAGACTTTCGAATTTTATCAAGTATAATAGCATATCAAAATATTCGGTTGCCGAAGTTCTGTCGCACCATTTTCGAAAATTCATAACTTCTGATCTTTCCAACCGATTTGACCGCTTTTATTTTTATATGAAAGAGCAATTTGTGCTCTTTGTAACGACTTCTTGGAAGCTTACTAATGATCATCTGTTGCATAGATAGGAGTGGTAGAAGAAAATTAGTCAAAATTCGAATTTTCTGTGTAGGGTCATAAAAAATCGGAAACTTGCAACAAAAATTGAAACAGTCGGTATTGTAGGTTTTTTCACCAGCTCCTTCTAACAGTGCAAAGTTTGCGCTGACTAATTGTTTCTATGGAAAGTTTTGATTTTCGAGCAAGCAATACAAAAGGGAATTTGATTTATTTTAGATTTTTCAAGGAAATCATAACTTTCCATAGAAACGCTTAGTCAGCGCAAACGTTGCACAGTTAAAAAGAGCTGGTGAAGGAGCCTATAATACTGATTGCTCCGATTTTTGTTGCAAGTCTCCGTTTTTTTATAACCCTACACAGTTCGAATTTTGACTAATTTTCTTCTATCGATCCTATCTATGCAGTAGATGACCACTAGCAAGCATACAAGATATCATTATAAAGAGCATGATTTACTCTATCATATAAAATTGAAGGCGTTCAAATCGGTTGAAAAAATCAGAAGTTATGAATTTTTGAATTTGGTGCGACAGAACTTTCGGGACAACCTAATATTATATGTTGAGAGGGGAGGGGGACGGATTGTTAGGTTACTGTCTATGTCCATGTTTTATCCTGCTACTTTTTTGAGAATCTTTAGGATATATTATGGCTAGGCACCAGTAGCATATTGAACGGGGTGGGCGGTGAAACTTATTTACATGGGTTATAAAAATCTGCAAATAACTTGTTTATTTTTGTAAACAATCAAAATAATTTTTAGAATTTTTTAAAAATTCAAATTAGCCTTGTAAAAAATTTTCGGGGGCTGTAAACCCGCAAGAATTTTGAGATGCACCTCAAAACTATTTTCAGAGTGCGTGGCTAAAGCCACGCACCTTTATTTGAAAACAATTTTTGCCGCCCCCCCCCCCCCTCGGAACCGCTCTGAGACCGCCACTGCTAGGCACCAGGGCCCGGCACAGATGGTTTGGGGTCACACTGGACTTCGTTTTTGAAGTTAGAAGCAACGGGGATATCGTTTTTATAAGATCCTGGGGGAAGCGCCGATAGAAAAACGACCAACATGTCAGGTTATACGTGTTGAACGTGTTCTTTCGCAAGCGCGCAAATTTCAAACGCAAGACTCAAACAAACAAATGGCTTGTTTACAGCGCACAAACAATCATATGGCTCCGCATTTGGGCTATGTGTATACAATATTACTCCAAACTAGGTTATGTAAAAACTTCCCAAAACTTATGTGTCCTAATAGCCGTTCCCGAATTTGTTGGTTTCTAGACCAACACCAAACCAACTGGGTTGGTTCGGAGCATAAATATCGGAGAGTTCACATAAGTTTCGGCTCTTTTTGATTTGGACGATTACAACGGTCAAAAATCTATCATATAGTGAAGAGAGCGAATCAAACTACTGCCTCTTCTCTTTTTTTTGAGGCAAAAGTAGTGTAAATCTATGCGTTGATAGATATTGCGCTCCAATCACATCATCATCCTTTGAACTATGTGGCGAAAAATGCATCGCCAGATTGTTGAAGCCACAAATTTGGTTGGCCTAGGAAGTTTTCGACATTCTGAGCACTAAAATGGTACCCTATCCAATGACAGAGCCTTTAATCAACTCGAATGTTTTATTTATTTTTGCTTTTTTGTTATATTAAGTACCTCAAAATGCGCTTTTTTCGTTTTTATTGCTATTTTGACTGAATAAAGGTTTCCTACTGATTTTTACGTCAAGAGGGACTTCGAAATTTTCGCAAAATCATGGGGGACTTCGTTTCCAAAAATGCTCCATACCAACGCGTGCCGGGCCCTGCTAGGCACCTCACAGGCAAGCCTAACGCCTCTCCACGTGTCTTGACATGTGAGATCTTGATTACGTGGATTCACTAAGCAGTTGCGGCAATTGTGCAATAGTGGCTCTTTAGCCTAGCGTTCTAGAAGTAGGCACTTTGCGCCGAGCATTGGAAGTTCGAGACCCGAAATCGAAGCGTTTTGCGATGAAGCATGTGGCGGCTCCTCAACAACTAGAGCGGATCCTCAAGTAGCAGAACGAAACTCGGAGTTTCAAAAAGAAACTCAGAGTCAACTCTGAGTTAACGCGCAGCTTTAAAGGCAGTGTCTCACCAAAATTTGGTTGCCGAGATTTTTGCATTTTCAAGCCTGACGGATCCCGTCTAGCACTGTATGGGCTTAAATTGCACGAAGTTCCCAAAAACCCCGTTTTCTGGAGACCCCGCGGAAGCAACGTGGACGAGTTGTTCCTTCCAACTTCAGCCTCAGCCACAGTGGCAGCAACAGAGGGGAGGTGGATGCCAAGTGGAGGGACATGTTCAAACGCGTAAGGGGGAGACCGAAGGAGTCGTCCGCGCGTACCAACTCGCTCTCCGCGTACCACTTTGAGCGAATTTTTCTCAGCGTGTAGGGGGCAAAAATGAGTGGGACTTGTTGCAATGGCCTATTTAGAGGTCCTTATAATAGAATATGTGAAGATCCACGCGACCTCAACTTTGGTGAGACACTGCCTTTAAACTCGGAGTTTCGACCAGATTACTACCGGCCCAGCTTTTTATATAAGATTAATCAACATGGCGCAGAATAAACAACATGGCGCAGAACAAGATAATTACTGATATGACTATCTTTTATACTAGGTTCAGGGCTCGGCACGAGGTGGCTTACAAGCAAGCTGGATATCGTTTTTGGGACGAAAAGCAAAGGGGGTTTCGTTTTTGTGACCGAAGAGACACGGAAAATTGGCGACGGCGACCTTTTTTTTAGTCGACGTTTCGTTTTTTGGGGGATTTTGGGGAATTTTTCAGGTTTTTAGAGGAAATTTGGTTGAGGGTCAAAGGGGACTTCGTAAAAATTCCCAAAAGTCAAGGGGGACTTCGTTTTTTCCATTTTCATCTAGCCACCTTGTGCCGAGCCCTGACTAGGTTGTCCCGAAAGTTTTGTCGGCTTTTCCGAACGCCTATAAAAACACGCACAATGAAGATCTGAATGAGGTTTCAGGTCGATGCACTACCAGGGGCGATGTCGACCACGGTGGCCCACACCTCCTGCAAAGTCGTATCATTTGTAGGTCTAGTATTTTTTCCACATATTAATATTTTACCATTTTTTTGCACTCTTGGGTCCGTCGTTCCAGATCAAGAAAATGTTTATAAATGTTAACAAAAAATCTTGTATTTCTCAAATAACCACAGAAACTTCCCACACCGAGTGTTGTGCAAAATCGCGTTGTTCCAAAGCGCCTTCATGCAAAATTATGCGTCTCATCAGTGGCTTAAGAATACATTTTCGAACCACAATTCTATATGCTTTTTCAATAATTGCCAACATTCCTCACCTGTCATTTCCACCTGCCCGAAGTCCAGCTACTTTTCAAAAATTTCATTCCAAAGTTTCGGGAAGCTTTATAGGCAGTGCCCAAGCAAAACGTCATTTTCGAGATTTCGTGCTTACCTGGGCCTATTCGCTATGCTGAATCCGAAAATCAACACTGGAGGGCGCAAAAACGGCAAAAAAGGCTCTAAAGGAGGGGCGAAATTGCAGATGGGCGGGGCCGTTCACACCGCGACGTCACTCTCCCAGGCTTTAAAGCGATCTTCTCGGTTCTAGTTTTATGTCATGCGTTTCGCAGTTGGGTAATGGTGGTGTTAGTGCGGCTAGCGGAAGCGAGGAGATCGCTCCTGAAGCTGGGAAAGTGATGCCACTATGTTAACAGCCCCGCCCACCTGCAATTTCCCTCCTCCGTTAGAGTCTTTTTTCGCCGTTTTCGCGATCTCCAGTGGTGATTTTCGGATTCAGCAAAGCGAATAGGCCCAGGTAAGCATAATCTCGAAATCGACTTTTTGCTTGGACACTGCCTTTAAGTATGGGATGAATAGAGCAAGTCTCGGAATATACAGTAATGTTTTTGGATTTTGTAACTAGGCTGTTTATTAAAAAATTGTTTTTTGGAGGTTTCGATTTTTTCCAAAGTCATAGAACCCGCAAGTGCAGCAAAATCACGGAGGCTTTTGAAACTTTTGCGGATTAAAATTTGATTGTTATTAAACATTATGTGTGCAACAAAACTAAGTTTAATTTGCTTCACAGACAGCTTTTTAGAATTTTCGTTAGTTACTCTACCTTACGTGGTAGACATGATCAAAAATTCGCGAATAATCATTCATAATTATATTATTACGTACTTGATAAACTGGCCCATGTAACCTGAAATGGGTATAGTATAGCCAATGGTTTGTTCTACATGAAGACTGCCACCCTCTCTCTCTCCCTCTCTCTCTCTCTCTCTCTCTCTCTTCCTCTCTGAATTTACCAGGGTGAAATTTTTTATAAGTCATGGAAAATTTGGCGTTATTTTGAGCTGCTCAAAAAGCCATAGCGATAACATAGCAAACACAGCGTAGATCAGGGAGCAAATCTATACATGCATAAAGCTGAGTGGTGGTAAATTGTTAGTTAGTGTGTTCCTTATAGAAACTTTTGTGTGTGGACCAATCAGCACAAAACTTTGCACACATATGTTTTCGCCACCGATCCATCCCGTAGGCTACTTTCAACAGCGGAATTGCCACTCCTTCTATTGATTTATCGATTCTGAAGAAAAATGAACTCGTACTAATTACCATCAAGCCACATCCAACTTTTGTATAAACAAGCAGTGGAGTCCATTTTCATTCCACGATCATTGACAAGGGTAATTCAAGGCGATGCGATTAGGAAGTATCTGCCCTGTGTTGCACGAGAAGCAGAATAAGGCCGAAACGCAGTGAGTTGCGGCTTAAACTCAGATAATCGCCGGGGGCAGGCGGCCATGCGAATTTTGAGCAAGCGGGCACTGGAAAAATAGTTCGCTGATTTTTGTGGTCCGCTTGCAGAAATTTGGAATAATTTTGGCCAGTTTTTAGACGAACGCTCGAAGATCTATCGCGGTTTTTCTATACATAAGTTGCGGCACAGTGGCCGCATTCTCGCGGATTTTCCGCGAGAACATGCAAAATTATTGAGAGCCGCACGGTCCTTTTTGAGGGAACGCACAGCCCTCAGGTACTTTCCGCTGAAAGAAAGTACCCCAAACTTGGGTAATAAAACCATCGATGGCACCTCTGCCACATAGAGTCTCATCTTTTCTCGGCGTACACCCGAAACTGCGTAAAAAGAGTCTGAGCGCCTGCTGAAAGTTTGGCCAGCGCTCGCTGAAAGAGATTGTTTGATGAGCGCTTGCAGAAAACTTTGTATTGATGCCCGCTTGCAGAAAACGCAAATACCGCCCGCTGAAGATTTGGCCACGCCCCGAAATCCTGCTGACCGCCTGCAGAAAAGCGCGAGTTTGCGGACCGCCTGCCCCCGGCGATTATCTGAGAAGGCAGTGGGTCGGCAGAATGAGATCCGTGGCAAAACGAGGTCACAGGGTAGGAGCCCCCATAATGGAACCTATGGGCCAAAGTTCGGTCTTTCTCTGCCACTTCTAACCCCCGAAATTTCAAAGCGAAAGCAGCGCTCATCTCCTGTCCTCTCCGAACCCGCCCACCCCATGGACGAGTGACTTCCACGGTCAGAGCGCGCAGCCGCAATGCTATAAGCATGAGGTCCCGCAACTCTGCGTCTTCGCCATGACGGATTCGCGTTCACTCGCCCGTGGGGTGGGCGGGGTCGGAGAGGACAGGAGATGAGCGCTGCTTTCGCTCTGAAATTTCGTGAGTTAGGAGTGGCAGAGAAAGATCGAACTTTGGCCCATAACCATTATGGGAGCTCCTACCCTATGACCTTGTTTTGCCACCGGTCTCATTCTGCCGACCCACTGCCTTTAAAGAGCGCTACCTGCTCGTTGAAAGTTCTTTGTAAATTCTCGGTACTGGCGAAGCCGGCACGCCGGCTAATAAAGCTATAAGAAAAGGATAAAAATCTGAATCAAATGGTACCTAGTGGAGATTTTTCGTGATCGAAAAAACCGACAAGACTTTCGACACAGCCTAATATAAAGCTTAATATCTGTCTGTAATCCTGTATATCTGCTTGCCTGTACGTATGTTCAAGATAGAGTTTTTTCGGAACCGATCCAGACCAAACTTGGCATACGTATTCTTTGGGCGGAGCGGGTATCGTGGGCTACTTATCATTACTGATCGATATCGACTTTATCGATTTGGTTTGATCTACGGGGCTTTAAATTGACATGGGGAGGAGAGTGGGGGGGGGGGAAGGTAGCATGCTGATCCGAGTGCAGGATTAGTTTTTGAATCATCAGTCACCTTTCATGATTTTACCAATTTTTGCACTCTGACCTACGGGGCTGGGAATTAGCACAGGAGGCAAGAGAACATGCTGATCACGAAAACTTGATCAAGAGTGGGGACAGGGGAAAGAAAATGTGCAAAAATTCGGAAGTGGCAATTATCATACTGCATTGACAGGGCCGGGAGGAGCCGGGTATGCTAGCTAGTTGGTCGTAAAACACTACAAGTACAGTCGCTTCATTTCATATGATCATGTGTGTCATTGCACACACAGTTCACCTTTGGCATCCCCATCCTGGATTCGTGGGAGAAACAAGCCCCCAGGTAAGTGTTTCTAAGGTGTTCTTAGCATTTTCTTTCCTTTTTAGTTATTAGTCACTTCACATTGATGTAATCGATAACAATAGGTAAGTCTCTTGTGTTTTTGCGATTGCAAATCCAGGATGAGGACGCCAAAGTGGACTGTGTTGCAATGGCACACATGATCATATGAAATGAAGCGACTGTACGCACACCAGCAAGGCAGCTACAATACCGCTCACATTTTTTGAAAAAAAGACGCGAATGTCGCGTCTTTTTTTTTCAAAAATGTCGCGTCTCTTATGTATGAACATCACCGTCGCGTGGCCATAGCTCGCTTCAGAGTGGACGAATTCTGCGCAGCGCATCTTCTGATGTATAGAAGTGTCCACTTGTCCATACTTTTTCATATAATTTTTTGGTCCTTGTCTTCTTTCCTTTTGCTTTTTCTATTTGGACACAGGAGGAGGTCAGATTCCACGAATCATTCCAGATTGCTTGATAGGTTGAGTGTAAGAAATAAGCACACTGGGTAACTTACCGCGAGCTGAGTCGATTGGCGGCTTTAGATGCAGAATTACTTTGAAGCGAGATATGGCCACGCGACGGTGATGTTCATACAGGATGCGAAACTCGGAGCGGTATTGTATCTGCTTTGCAAGCCTAACGCTTCTAAATGGGGTAATACTTATGAAAAATTTAAATTCTTGATATTTGCGTCCATCCCGTAGAAGGCCTCAGGATGCGTTTGTCAATATCAGGATCAAATCAATATGTGCCTTAGAAACAAACGCTTCATTTGCAAAGGTTAGCCAATGCTTGGCCATGAATTTGGCAGTATATATGCAATGAGGATTGGGAAACATTTATGAGTTATTATGAAATGCTCAAATGAACGAAGCGCATGCATAACTATTTTAAATTTGCTGTCACCGTGCTAGCGCGGGCTGATACGAAAGCAAAAAGTTCAAAATTCATTCGAACATAGTTTTCTATCCTAACATCTTTTAGCTCAAACTCCACTTTTCAAGCTAATACAAGCAGCCTTACCATTGACTTGGTTGATACGAAACCTTGTTCTTTTCGCTGCTTCAAAGTCAATTTTGCTTTTTAACTTACTTACATTCATTTCATTCCATTCATCATTCGCTGCAGATCGTCATAATTTGCTAAGTTAAAGAGGACAACATTTTTGCAGCGGTACTAAGCGGCAAATCGTTTGTACTATAGGGGCAGCGAGCCCAGCTTACGCCCTTCCTTTGTGAGAGTCTGGTAAAATACGTCATTCTATTTGACAAAAATACTTTGATTTAGTTCTTCTATTGTTTGAAAATTCAAAGTTTTTTGCACGAATATTTGGTTCGCAATTTTTTGCTAAACTGGTGATGCATGTTATTTGATTTCTCGAGCGGCGTGGGAGAAATCGCAAAAGAGCTGAAAATAGCACTGCTCTTGCCGTTCGTTTTCTACCCAAGTTTTTCCACTATTCAGGTGCCTCGTGCATTACCGCTTGAATGCTCGTTGGCGGAATGACTC